TGGGCACGTGATTCTATATTGCTATGTTTTTTTTTTCTGTAAGATTTTTGTTTTTTTTTTTTTTTTCCCTTTTTCTTCCCTCCTAATTTTCTCTCCTACTTAGACATGTAAAAACTAAGAAAAATCCTTAACTAATGAGGATGCTCTAACTTAATGATTTGAATAGTTATAAGCAAGTTAATATCAAGTTGGACGTTCCTTTCGTCGTCAAGCTAGTAGTAATCCCAACAGTTCTCGTAAACTAATTGGGGTGTATTCAATCAAGATTTTTATAACTTTTTAAAGACTTTTAACGACTTTAAAATTTTGATGATATTCGATCTTGATTTTTAAAGACTCTTTAAAAGTCATTTGGTATTCTATTCAGTTTTTTAAAAAGTTTTTAAAAGTATACTGGTATTCGATTTAGACTTTTATGGAATCTTTAAAAGTCTACTGGTATTCAAAAATTTATTAACTTTTATAGATTATTCTACCCCATTATGATTCCTATAGACTTTTCCATCACAAGTATAAATAGTTGAAATCCAACCTTCCAACCCCATACTTTTAAACTTTCTCTACAAACTTTTTTTTTCTCCGTTTGAACCACAAACTTTTCATCTATTCCTGTCAAATTTTACGATATGTTTCATAATTTTCATACATATTTATATACTTTTTTTATTTTTGTGTTTTTATTTTTATACATATCTATAAAAACATTATATTTGAATTTTTTATTGTTAACAACAATAAAATTTTGTTGTCGTTCGCAGCCATATAATTTGTTGCTACGAACAACGGCAAGTTCTTGCTCATATTCGCAATATAAATAAAATTTCAAATACAATTTTTTTTTATCTAATCATATGTCTATTATTAATTGGTATAAGTAGTAGAATTATACTATCATTATTTTTAATTTTAGGTAGACATATGTACATTATTATTTCTTTATTTATTTTTTTGAAAACCAAAACGCATATATTAATTAAACAGAGTCAAGCTCCAAAACATGAACAAGAGAAGGAAAAGGGACAACACAGTCCACACGATCAGACTTGGACAAGGCCTCCCTAGCAAGGAAGTGGGTGACCCTGTTTGCAGATCGTTTAACAAAAGAAAAGCTAAGATTAACAAAATCAGTAGCTAGTTTCCTAATATCATCAACCAACAGATCAAAAGAGGTGAATGCATTAAAATTCTGCAAACCATTGACCACCTTCAACGCGTTGGTCTCCACCTCCACATACTCCTCATTGAGCTCCTTCAGCCACTTGAACGCCTCCTGGACACCCATAGCTTCTGCCTCATCCGGTTTGAACAAACCTGGCCTGAGAACTTGTCTTGCAGCAACGAACTGTCCAGAAGCATCTCTCAAGACCAGACCAAACCCCATTTTTCTGTGTGTAGAGTGCAAAGCTGCATCTACATTTAGCTTCTTCCAACCCATCGGAGGTCTACTCCAGTTAGTGACCATTGAAGGTGTAGTGCGCACACTTGCCTGACCAGAATTTGCAATACACCATTCCTGGAGATAGGTCTGAGCACCCCTCACAATAACATAGGCTGCCATGATCACTTGATTCCAAACTTTCTAATTCATTGCCTCCCAGAGTTTCCAACAAACAGAGATCATAAGGCACAACTGCTCAGCATGCAGCGACTTAAATTGGAGCTCCAGCCAATCAAGGAAACTTTGGCTGCTGCGATAATCGATACCTCTCAGGAGATCCCAACACTGCCTAGCAATAGAGCAGCCCACAAACAAATGAAAAGCAGATTCATCATCAAAGGCACACAGTTGGCAAATAGCTGGGATTTGAACTTGTTTGGCTCTTAGATGGTCAGAAGTAGGAAGAGAACCCGAGCACAACTGCCACAAAAATGACTTGATCTTAGGGGGAAGTTTCATACTCCACATACTAGTCCAAAAAGGGGTTTGCAGATTGAGTTTTGACCCCTGCAGTTTCCTATAGCAGCTTTTCACAGTATAAATTCCTTTCTCATCCTCCATCCAAACAAGCTTATCCTTATGATGATTATCAACAATGGGGATATTCCTTATGAGAGCGACATCAGCATGATAAAAAATGTCCTCTAAGAGCTCAACATCCCAACCAGATTTATCCACAGTCAGGAGGTTCTCCACCTTTGCATCTCTCAAATGATCTGCCATGGGAGTTTGAACAAAACGCATATTATCATTAGGAAACCAAGGATCACCCCAAACTTTAATAGAGGCACCATCCCCCACTCTCCACCTCACCCCCTCCCTAAGGACATTCTGGGACTCTAGGATACTCCGCCAAATGAAGGAAGGATTTCCCCCTAACATAGCATCAAAGAAAGACTGAGAGGGATAATAGCGGCTTTATACATCCGAGCAAAAAGGAAATCATGGGATTGAATCAATCTCCAAGCTTGTTTACCTAAGAGGGCAATATTAAAATCTCGAATTTTCCGAAACCCCACCCCTCCCCATTTCTTTGGGACACATAAATCCTCCCACCTCTTCCACCTTATACCCCTACTTCTCTCCCCTTCACAGCCCCACCAATACGCATTCATAGTTCTCTCAATCTCCCTGCCCACCTCAATTGGAAGAAGGAACACACTCATAGCATAAGAGGGGATAGCTTGGATGACATTTTTAAGAAGGACTTCCCTACCAGCCCTTGAGAGGAACTTAGAGGTCCAACTCTTAATTCTACCCACCACTTTTTCCTTTATGAATCGCATAATTCCTCTTTTGTTTCGACCAATGAGAGACGGTAGACCCAAATAATTTCCACTCAAATTACCCTCCCTCATCCCCAACATCTCACACACCCCTACTCTTATATCCCCTTGGACATTCCGACTGAAAGAAACTGTAGACTTCAACAGATTAACAGACTAACCAGAAGCAAGAGAAAAGGATTCTATGACTTCTTTTAGGACACTGCTTTCAGCCAATGATGCTCGACAGAAAATATAACAATCATCGGCAAAGAAAAGATTAGACACAATGGGGGCTCCCCTAGCTACAGATACACCATGTAACTGACCTTCCCTAACTTTAGATTGTATTGCACAATGGAAGGACTCCAAGACTAGAATGAAAAGGTATGGAGAAATAGGATCCCCTTGCCGCAAACCCCTCCCAGGTATGACAGCCCCTATTTCTCTTCCTTCCACCAAAAACCTATACTCAATAGAAGTGATAAGTTCCCATATAAGGAGGACTAATTGCTTAGAAAATCCCAATTTATGAAGAATAACCCTTAGAAAATCCCATCTCACTTTGTCATAGAATTTACTCATATCTAACTTGACCCCTGCATAACCAACAATCCCAAGCCTCTTTCGTTTCAGATTGTGATTTAATTCATACGCAACCATTATGTTATCAGTGATCAATCTGCCCGGGACAAAAGCTGTCTGAGACTCAGAAATAAGACTGGTAAGAAGGGGCTTTAGGCGATTGGCTAGGATTTTGGACACAATCTTATAGAGAATATTGCACAACGCTATGGGACACAGATCAGAAACAGACTCTGGTTTGGATTTTTTGGGTATTAGAACAATGTGAGTAAGGTTAAGGCTTAGAGGCAATTTCCCCGAACTAAAACAAGTATTACAGAACCTCAACAACTCTGATCCAAGAATATCCCAGAAACTCTGAAAAAAACCTGGACTTAACCCATCAGGACTAGGGAATTTGTCTGGTTTCATGTCAAATAAAGCCTCCTTTACCTCTTCAAGAGCAACTCTCCTACCCAGAACAATATTTGGACAGCAGTAACTTTGGGTTCAATCTTCTCCAAGAGGTGATCCAGGACTCAAAAAATTATCAAAATGCGAGGTAATCAAAAAATCAAGATGGTTACCTTTCTCCACCCAGTTGCCTGCATCATCACGCAGTCTTGATATGCTATTGTTCTGTCTCCTCCTCCTCACAAAATTATGAAAATAAGCAGAGTTTGTGTCCCCTTCTCGAAGCCAAAATTGTTTCGCTCCCTGACGCCAATAATCATTCTATTGATGCAACACACGGATATATTGTGCTTGGGCTTCCTTGAACAAAACGATCCCCAGAGCATCACGTCTTGATTTGGTATTCTCCATTTGCTTCCTCCAATAGGTTAACCGTTTATCAAAATCCTTTGCAAAGGATTTGCCCCAATTCCATATTGCCTTACTGCACCGCTCCACTCTGTCCATAAGTTGGGAACCACAGGATCGTGACCAACTCTCTATCATAATTTCCCTGCTTGTATTGTCTTGTAGCCACAAATTCTCAAACCGGAATCTTCCTCTTCTTTGAACCCCACTGCTCGGTTGAATTTCCAAAAACAAAGGCATATGGTCGCTCTTAGAAACAACAATCGAGGATGCTTTGGCCGAAGGGAAGAGATCACACCAAACATCCGAAGTCAGAATCCTATCTAATTTTGCCTCCACCCAATTAGGGGATCCTTTCGAGCGTTCCCAGGTAAACTGATACCCCTCAAAACTGAAATCCTTCAGACCACTAGCCTCGACTGCTTCACTAAAACCTTCAATGAGACGTCTGGGTTATGGGTTACCACCACGCTTCTCTTCCGGATGCAACACATCATTAAAGTCACCAGAGACAACCCAAGGTAATGGACTTCGAGTAGCTAACTGCTTCAGAAGGCTCCAAGATTCAGACCTTCTACTTCTATTGGAGGAGCCATAAAAACCAGTAAATCTCCACCTAGCTTCACCGGAGCTCAGACAAACCTCCGCATCAATATGATTTGCTGAATAAGATTTGATATCCACAAGTGTGCCCTCTTTCCGCATAAGGGCTAACCCGCCTCTATGACCAATATTATCAACAGAAAAAAGGCCCATATAACCCAATCTACTCTTAATAGGATGTAGCTTTCTCAAACCAACAAAAGTCTCTATAAGAAACACAATATTGGGCTTTTTAGAGTGGACCAAGTCCAATAAAACCTCAATTGTCGATGGGTTCCCAAGCCCACGACAATTCCAAGATAAATAACTCATTGTTGTGGGCGGGCCTGATCCACAGGTCCCGCCATTGGCCCATTTTTTGAAAGAGAACCAGTTTCATTAAGATCAAAATGCATTAGGCTGGACTGAGCAAGCGGATCCTCAGCATCCACCCTACGCCTCTTCTGATCCAACAGAGTCAGACCATCACCAACGTCCTTCTCAGCCTCCATAGCACGTGGCAGCTCATCCACGTCTCCCACCATCTCTCCAACATCCATATTCTCAGTCGACACGTGTTCTTCTCTGCCCACCTCCGTACTCTGAGGATTTGTCCAGATATGAGACGTACCCGGTACCAGGCCTAACACTGCAGAATTCGTACCAATTCCGCCACTCTGTACCAGTAACGACCCCGTACCCCTACCATGATCAAGAACCAGCCACCGTTGACCGGCCGCCGGCGGAGCCCTCCGGCTAGCAACTCTCATCCAGGCACCATACAGCTTCTCTCCACCTTGCCACACCTCATCAAATGGTTTCGAACAGAACTTCTCAGTATGGCCGAGAATCCCATAGAGGAAGCAAAAATTCGGAAGGCATTCATACTGAAATGATATCCACGACCACTCCTCACCTGTCTTTCGTATTCTCATCTTACACAGTAATGGCTTAGTAATGTCGACAGAGACACGAATCCGTATGAACGATTTCCACCATCCTTCAAAAGTGTTCTCATCAATACGCACATAGGTGCCAATGTGGTTACCAATGGCCTTAGCAGTCTTCTCAGAGTAGAAACCATACGGCAAGTCATGTAGTTGAACCCAAAACTCAGCATGGTTAAATGACATTGCCAGAAGTGGTATGTTCGGCTGCATTTTCTAAAGCACCAGGAGGCTCTGGTCGTAAGCCCACGGCCCGTCCTCTAGGATCCTCTGCATATCCAAGACATGAAAAAACTGAAATAGAAAAGTATTGTTACCCAGATCTTCCACCGCAACGCCTTTCACTAGACGCCATACCGCCGCCAACGTATCACGCATGAAGGTGAACTTGACCACCTTGTCAGTAATGAGCTTTCCAACAACCATGAGACTGATATCCTCTGTGCGACGGAGATCTCCTTCATCTGGGGTATCATCAGTGAGTTCCAGAGCCGCATAAGCATCTAGGAGGTCCTCAGTGGGATCCGCTGGGTGGGAGGAAAAGTTAGCCATAGAGGGCCCAGCAGATGGCCGGAGGGTTAATACCCGAAGATTCACCATTATGATATTCCATGAAGACAGTCAACAAAGCACAAGAGAGCGACAAGACAAGAGGAAACGGAAGGAATAAACCAGAGACAAAAGAAAGCTTGTCACAAGGGTAAGAGAAAAAGGCTAGCCAATGAAGCTAGAGAGAGAATCATATGTATTTGTGTTAATATATGTATTTGTGTTAAGTTGATTTTTTCAAGGTATAACAAAAAGAAAATAGTTTTAAAAAATTTTCAAGGTATAACAAAAAGAAAATAGTTTTAAAATTTTGAATGATTTTCATATACTTTATAGTAATTATAAATGCGAGATACTCACCAAGAAAAGAGTAAGGAACAAATAAAATTGATGAATATTATGCATTGTAGGTACCAAAGGAGAGTAATGAGTTGTTACAACTTATGGTTGATTGTAATAACAAGATGTATATTTTGATTCTTACTTTTTTTTTTATTTATTCTAGACATTTTGATAATTATATTATTCAACATTAGTTGTTTCATTAGTTCAAGAAACATTTTTATTGATTATATCATTTAGTGAAATTGATTGATGTTGTCTTTATGTATAAAACACTATATTTTTGTGACAATCAGTTTTTATTTTTATTTTTTTAATGTATTAATTTATTTTTATGATTTATAAAAATATATTATATATTATAAAAGTTTTTATAAGAAAATTATAAATAATGTATTAATAGAAGTTATGAAATGTATGTAAGGGTGTATTCAATTTAGAGTTTTAATAATTTTTGTAGACTTTTTAATATGAAAAGTTGTTAAAAGTTTTTAAATGTTTGTTATATTGACTTTTATGGACTTGTAAAAAGTTTATGAAAGTTTAAAAAATTTTATGAAAATTTGAAAAGAGTCTAAGAAAGTCATTTAAAATTCATAACTTTAAAAGTCTTTGAAAAGTATATAAAATTCATAACTTTAAAAGTCTTTGAAAAGTATATAAAAATCTTGATTGATGAATACACCGCTAATCCCTCCAACCATACACCATGAACATCCTGGATTAATCCCTTGGTGTAGCATCATGGATTACCATCGACGTTAACTGTTGGATATTTGGTGGGAAAAAAAAAAAAAAAAACCCAATAATAATCATACGAAATAAGGATTATTATTTTATGAAAATCTTGGGAAGGAAATGACGAAGGGATATGGTTCGGGTTGGTGTAGGTGATTAGCACGAGTCGAGCGAATCCCTCTTTCCTTAAAACCTTATTTGCTACCTCCCATAAGTGCTAGGAGCGTTGTAGCCTAGGTTTCCCAGGATAAAACGTACTACGGTTCAACGTTTGAGCACCCAAACTTTGAACTTGACGAACTAGAGCAAAGCTTTGAACACAGTAGGCTAAGAAAGGAGTAGAAGCAGAGAGTTTTGAGAGCTGGAAAATATATTTCATTGTGTTGTAAAATTCTGCTGCTACTACTACTTCTTATATAGGAAAAGGTGGTGTAAATAGCATTCATTCTTGACATTTAACTCAGGTTTGAAACCTTCAAAACTGACGTTTGAACCTGGGATTAATTATAGAATTCAAAATTGAATTCAAAATTGGAATTAATCTGACCATTTCAAAAATGTGAACCGCAGTGGAGCTATACCCCGGTATACCAGTAGCTTGGAAAAACACCATTTTTAGACTCCCATAAGCGTACACGAGTCAAGTCTAAGTCTAAATCAACGCTTTTTATTTTAAACTCATTTTGGAATCTAATTTGCATGTGAGAGAGATCCTCTATGCTATGCAATTCAATAAGCATTAGAAAGACTATTGTATAAATAGTGATACAAATCCACTTCCCAAACCAATGTGGGACAAAAACTCATTCTTTTTCCCTTCATTTTTCCAACTCAAATGGGTCTACTTTGAGAATCAATATCTCATTCACCCATTATCCGTTTTGAGCGTACAATATATCAATCTCTTCGTCTCACTACGAAGAACTCGAATCCACATTGACTCGACCCAAATCAAAAGTGGACCCCACTAATAATTGTACCACAAAATAGCTACTTACAATGCCATTTTTATGTTATTTTTTCAACATTAACTAACTTCAACAAATCCCACTTTCGGCTAAATCTAATTATTAAGTTTGAACCACAAATTTAAAGTCATCACCGCTTATGTCCTATACAGAGCCGGTTTTTAGATTTTTGTGTCCCTGTTCGAGTAAATAAATAAGGCCCTACCAAAATTAAAATCTTTAAAACTAATACCGTAATTTTATTATCAAAATATATAACACAAAAAAATTATTCGTGCATCGCACATGCATCGCATGCACAATGCACGGATAATTGGGCAATTATTTGCTCGAATTCAAGCAAGGATAACATAAAAAAACTTAATCGATACAACCCATTTCATCAATTGCACTATATAATATTCGTTGTTATAACTTAAAGATTATAACAAATATTTTCCGTGCAACGCACAAGTAAAAATAGACATTATGGAATAATAATAATAGTGTGCACAAGTTTTGAACCTTAGACCTCAAAGTTAAAACACAATAAATACATGTTCCTACCATTTTTTTATAAAGTCTTTTAAGTTTAATTAAAAACTTTTAATTTTTATTTCTAAACTAACTAGGTAAAAACAAAATATTGAGCTTTTAAAATTTGGGGCCCTGTGCTGTAGCCCAGCTTGCACAGCCCAAAATCCGGCCTGGCACCCTTGATTGCAGACGTTATGCCATGGAACCGTGTTCACCATTCATGGTGAACACGGTTCTAACGGTGTTAGTACACCGTTATCTTTTTTTTTTTTTTTAAATTAATTGTGTGATTTTTCTTCTTTATTTTCACATTTTGCGGTTTCACTTTAATTTGAGGTGAACAAAGATTTCGGACATTCATAAATTATGAATTCATGCCTGCACATTCACTTTGGAACCATGCCTACACATTCCCGTCCGAAATCACGGATTATGAATTTTCTGTTATGAGATTATGAATTTTCAATTATGAGATTATGAATTTTCTGTTATGCGATTATGAATTTTCTGTTATGCGATTATGAATTTTCTGTTATGAGATTATGAATTTTCATTACATTCATAATTTCGGACATTCATAAATTATGAATTCATGCCTGCACATTCACTTTGGAACCATGCCTACATATTCCCGTCTGGAATCACGGACATTCATAAATTATGAATCCATGGCTGCACATTCACTTTGGAACCATGCCTACACATTCACTTTGGAACCATGAGATTATGAATTTTCTGTTATAAGATTATGAATTTTCTGTTATGAGATTATGAATTTTCAGTTGTGAGATTATGAATTTTCTGTTATGCGATTATGAATTTTCTGTTATGAGATTATGAATTTTCATAAAATTCATAATCTCATAACAGAAAATTCATAATTTGACCAAACGCGCGCCGTTAACTCCACATCCGTGAAATTTTTTTTTTTGCCTAAAAACGAAGTTATTTTGCCTTGTGTTCACCATTCTCGGTGAACACGATTCCATGGCATAATTTGCGCCTTGATTGAAACTTGGTACCACCTCAACATGAATACCAAGACGTTCAATATGATACTTTGAGACTTGGGCTCGTATAGGTCTGCGATCCACAAGCAAAGCTCTCATCCCTTTGAATTCAGAAAAAACATTGTTGGTCTCGTCATTTGAACAAAAACCATCATTAGTCAAGACAGCTGTAAAACTAAATGTGGATCCCGTATTTGGCAAGCTTACAAAATCAATTTCACCGTTCATGAGCTCCACCAAAGATTTGGTTATGCTCAATCCAATACCAGTACCCCCATGAATCCGTGTAGTGGATGGGCCAACTTGCATAAAGGGGGTGAATATATGAGATTGAGCTTCAAAAGGGATCCCAACACCGGTGTCTTCAACCGAGACAATTAAATTGATCTGGTCACTTTTCAGCTTAGATTCTTGATTAAAGGCTTTAATTTTATTCAAGCTTTGTTGTTTATTCAGGACTCCTAATCCGCTCAACGTACTTGATTCATGTTCACCAGCCACCTCCTCGACAAGGTGGATACTTACAAATATATGCCCCTTGTCAGTAAACTGCCAATAAACAAATCACAAGTGGTAAGAAAACTGAATGCAGGCTAGAGTGATCTGTGATGCAATGTACCCAGTTAACTCCTATAGACTGGCGAAAGAGGAAATCGTAAAATGTGTTTCAATTGACATACAAATCACCAAATATTTATACACTAGTAGTTACAACAAAGCCGATTAAATTCATTTTATCCATTTTTGTTCTTGCTAGGATTTGAACATTATACCTTGTGACTATATATATTAACAAGGTAAAATTTATAAACTTATTTTGAAAGTAAAAATTTGAGTGAGACCAACGAATCAATGACTGTGAGACGTAGAGTCAGATTGTAAGATAATTGGGTCAGTTTTAACTTGTCTACAGCTTCCAAATGCTTATACACTGCCGAGCAGTTCAATGGTATTAAATTATGCCATGGAATCGTGTTCACCGAAAATGGTGAACACAAGGCAAAACGACGTCGTTTTTAGGCAAAAAAAATAAAAATTCGCGGATGTGGAGTTAACGGCGCGCGTTTGATCAAATTATGAATTTTCTGTT